CTTCGATAAACTGTCTTGATAATACTGACTGATTGACTTCTATATACTGACTGAATTACATGTCGGTTTACATGTCTCTTATTTAGTAAAATGAACCTGTGTAAACCTGTTCTGGAAGATTCTAGATGCTTCTTTTCGATGCTTTTGGAAGCTTCTGGATGCGTCTGGATGTTTCTGAATGTTTCTGGATACTTCTGGATGCTTCCAGATGCTGATTCTGGAAACTTCTGAAAACTTCTGGATACTTCCTTTAACTTTTAAAAAACTTTCGTGATGTTGACACGAACCAGACTTAAGAAAATGAAACAAACCAAAAAAGTTGCACTTGTTTTGTCCGCTGCAAAATGGCACTTGTCAACGAAATTCTGCCTGTGTGCTGTCACCTGTCAGCTGATTGCTCATGTCATGGCATGCTATGACTCCAGACTCCTGAACTGTTTGCTGTGGTAGTATAGTTCGTTTCGTTTTTAAGACATGAAAAATTAGGAGCACTTTTTAGCATTGTTCGATGTTGGTTGCAAATGTTTTGTCCAATACTGTAGATTGTCAGCCAAACTACTATAAAAATTGGCCTTAAACCACCTGAGAAGTGAGGTGCCACGGTACTTCACTTGAATTATTTAGCGAATAGGTAACGGTAACAATGCATTTAATTTTCAAAGATCATTGGAAAATATATATGAGAAAAAAATCACATCCTGATTATCATTTTTTCAGTATTTTGTCAACTTCAACAGTGAAAATTTAAAGGTTAAAATTATTGAAAACTTTTAAGCATAAAATAAATAATATATAATATAGCAGTGGAAATATATTTATTTTAGTACTAATTTTGGTAACATTCAGAAAAATGTTATGCTTAAAGAAAAAAAACTTGTCAACTTAAGGTGTTTTTTAACGAAATCTTAAAAGCTAAATGTCTCCCTCAGACAAAATAAAAAGTTTTCGATATTTTGCCAAGCTTATCTACCTTATGTATATAATCATCCCTCCAAAGGTTTTGTCTTGGGAACTGCCATAAGTATTAAACCTGATTTTTTCATAGTGTGTACAGTAGGGATATGACTGAGAAATTTTCTCCTGCTCTGATGAACTTTTGCAACCTAATTATTTACAAATTATTATTAGAGCTAGTTTTTAAAAAAAATTCCTGTACCAAGACACTCAATGGCATGTTGGGTGTCTTAATTTATTAAAAATATTTTTCTCCAATGTATATCATGTTGGACTTCAAAAGAAATTTTTTTTAAGATTTCGAAAATAATGATCTTTTTTAAATGTTCCCTTCTTAAAAAAGATATTGTTAATCAAAACGTCTTAAAAAGTGCTTTTTTTCAAAATTTGTTTAAAAATGTTAGTGTTTTACAATAAACTAAATAAAACTGAATGTTATTTAAAAGTTTTTTTTTTCTAACTTTCTATGAAATTTTTGAGATTTGATATAAATATTTTTGTTTATATATGGCACCCACTATGTCATCAGGCGTTTTGGTGCAGGAACTTTAACGAACTTACAAATAACAAAATTACAAAAAAAATGTATTTCTTTAAACTCATTTTAATTACACAACACTGGACTACCTTAGATTACCCTAGATTACACTGGGCTATATTAGATTACCCTTGACTACAATGGACTACATTAGATTACCCTAGACTACACTGGACTATATTAGACTACACTGGATTACATTAGATTACACTAGGCTACACTGGACTACATTAGATTACCCTAGGCTACACTGGACTACCTTAGATTACTGTAGGTTGTACTGAACTATAATAGATCACCCTAGGCTGCACTGGACTACCTTAGATTACCCTAGACTACACTGGACTACATTAGATTACCCTAGGCTACACTGGACTACATTAGACTATACTCCAACATTTTCTTTTACAAAACTTAGCAGTGATAGTAGTTATATACTTGAAGCGAGGTTGAATTGAAATCAGCTTAATTATAAGTAAATTAGTAAGCTTTTCAGCTTACTAACTTAAAATCAAAATTTCAGCTTACTGACTTATAATCAAAATTGATTGAAAGTAAAATATAGAGTTGTTAAATTCTAAAACATAAGTTTTACAAACAAGCCAATTACAACAGCAGTAAATTTTTTTTGTAGGTTGGTTTAAAAATACTTATATGGGTCTCCAGAAAACTAAGAATAAAGTGCTAGCTAAAAAAATTAAAGGTTCAGATTTGGACCATGATCTCCTCTGTTGATTCTATAAGTAGTTGACTTCCTAACCATTTAAGATTAAAATTTTTGATTTTAATTTCACATTTGTTAAATGTAATTTTTTATTCATTACTTTTAGAGTGCTATTTATTTTAGTGTATGCCATTACTTTTTATTTACTATCTTATATTATTATTGACAGCTGTTTTTAATTAACATTCTTTAGATTCTTCTATTTAGTCACAACATTGCGACTGCAGTTTCTATATTTAGTGTTATTATTGTTATTTATTATTGTTATTAACAATGTATTAAAAATACAGTGCTTTAGGTGTTTAGCAGTATTACTATTTGTAATAGCAGCATTACTACAAATGTAAAACTCTTTGAAATATATTTTTCAGAATATACATGAGAGAGTGATTGATTGTATTAATTTAGAAGTTCCATTTAGCAATAAATTGTAAATCTTTTCTACAATAATAATACGTTAACTGCCATAGATGACACTGACCTACCACCTGAATATTAAATTAAGCAGGTACTTGCAAGTTAGCTAAAAAAGTTCATCTGATAAAACCAAGCTTCACAAACTAATATCATTTTTAACTAAACTGTTAGATATTAATTGGTTACTGTTACTGCTAAAAACACACCAGTGTCTGAAGATCCTTCAAAAAGAGTCTAAACAGAAAATTATGAAACCGAAATACCATCTGCAGAATTTTGACACCAAATTGAGCATATCAATGAAAATGATAATGGGTCTTCTGATTCAAAGTTTGAAGCATATGATGAAAAAGAACGTGCCTATTCACTACTGTTCAAAAACATTTCTTCCTCAATTGGGCTTCCCTACAGATTCAGGACTTTCTAATAATACAAGTTTGAGCACAAAACTGGAAGTTGTGTAAAATAAGACCATGTCAGCCAGGTCTAAACAAATCTTTTCACTTTTTAAACTGATAAAGCCATTTGAAAGTTTTAAATTTCTCTGTATGCAAAAAGTATTGGAAAGAGAAAAATAAAAGAAAAAATTGGCCTGTCTATTCACCTGGCAATTAAAAAATATACTTTCATGTTTTCTGGCTATTTGCTGATTTTAAAACTGAAAATTATAGCAAAGAATAGTGGATCTAGTATAAGGAATTTAAGAGTGGAAAAAAGATGTGAAAAAGTTCTCACACAAAAAATCAAAATGTAAAACACCTGTATGAATCAACAGACACTTTTAAGATGCTATTTCTACAAAGGCATTTCAATTTTTTTATGTTATTTGCAATAAAACTATTTGCAACAAAAAAATAAAAACATTTTATTTGCAAAACTGTTGATTGATATTGTAAAAAACAAAAAAACTTTTTTGATGTGAGAAGTAATGCTTTTGAAGTTCTGAAACAAATTTAGAAACTGAACTTTAAGAAAGGTGAGTTGATAAAAAGAAACACATTTCAGGAGAACTTTGCAGAGATGAAACAATTGATGATCCAACTACATGCTTTATATCAAAAAAATAAGTCACAACTTTTTTTTTTTTGATATACTTGTTTAATTAACATCAATTTGCCACTCATTGGGAGCAAAATGGAAATGCTTTTGAAGATAATTGAGGCTTTTGAGGATGATCGATAACTATCTGATGTATTTATAGTTGTTGTAAAAAAGAATTTACTCTGAAAACAAAGAGAAACTAGCTATCAATTGTTTTGCTTTAGAAGAAATGTAGTTTCATATGTATTAAACATTTTAATTGTTATCTAGAAACGCCAACCCAAAACAATTTCCTAAAAAGCAGCAAATTATTATTTAATAATATCTATCTAAAATGTAGTGTAATGCGACATAATAACATTTGCAACTTATTTTCTAGAAGGATTTTAACTTAGTTTTGAAATTGTTTGAATTATAAAAAATATTATTGGAAAATATTTTTCATTTTTAATTCAATAGTTGAAAGATTATGACTTTAAAAAATAAATATTTTGAAACATTATTATAAAATAAAAGTAATTTTAAAAATCATAAAAAATAAATATTTTGAAACACCATTATAAAAAATAGCAATTAAAAAATTTTACAATTGTTCCATTAAATGTGGGAAAAAAAACTTTGAAAAAAAAATGCAGCATTATAATTGTTTAGTTTTTATTTTGTTTAGCAAACTATTTGAAAATATTCTACATCAATTGTAGGAAAATTTAAAATGTGATTGAGAAACCCAACATGTAAATAAGAAATCGCATTATGAAAGTAGAAAAATATAAGTTGTAAATAAGAAATTGCAACATGAAAATGAAAATACATTATTTGTAGTTGCGAATTCACAATGTAAACTTAAAGGTCATTATAAAAGATTGTCTTGGAAATGTATTTTAATAAGTTTATAATATTAAATTTAGCATTTGAATGCACCAGCTATACAGTAATACAGTAATGGAATTATTTGTGTTTTATTTATTATTCATCTGAAATCTCAATTAAATTTTTTACAATCAAAAATAAAAAGAAAGATTTAATTGACACCCAATTGAAATTTTAAAGTTACCACCAAAACCTCAAATGCCTTTTTCACGACTTTTTATATTTTATTGATATTATATTATTATTTTTAGCCTTAAATTACAAAGTATATTAGGACTACAAAATTCAAAATACAAAGTTTTTTGTATTTTGAATTTTGAATTCACTAAAAGTAACTAGACCTTAGACTGCAGCAACCCGTTTTGTCTGAAGGAGGTAAATGTGTTGAAAAAATATTTATAAAAAACAACTACACAAGCATAAAAAATGAAAATCAATCAAAAAATAGTTACTTACTTAAAAGAAACATCAGGGTGTGCCTCACTAAGTAATTGTAAAATAGATTGAGGAATAGTGTTGTAAACAAAATCTAAAAAAAAAGTAGAGCATGACAAATACTTTTTATTAGTTCAGCTGTTAAAGTCATGCTTTAAAAACCCACCTATTAAACTCTTCATAAATGGAAAAAACACACGCCAAACTTCATCTAAGTTACCATCAGTATCTAAGTAAACAGCACCAGCAATAGCTTCATAAATATTTGCTAATTCTTTAGGTACTTCTACAAATTGATTGTTGTGAAAAGCTACAAATGAATTAAATGTCGCCTAAAAACACAAGTTACTAAAATTAAAGAATAATCTATCCCAGTCTTTTTAAAGATTTAATTTAAAACATTTAAAAAAGTTTTAATAAAAACACAAAATTGAAGAATAATATTTCCCAGTTTTTTGAAAGATTTTATATAAAGCAATCAAAAAAAAATTACCAGTAAAAAAAAAATGTTCAAATATGTTTGATTTAAACAAGTCAGCTAGTATGTTAAGCCTTCAAGTATTTTTGAGATTTGAGCAAAGAATGACATTAGCAAAGAATGACATTAGCAAAGAATGACATTAGCAAAGAAAGACATTAGCATAGAATGGCATTAGCAAAGAATGACATTAGCAAAGAATGACATTAGCAAAGAATGGCATTAGCAAAGAATGACATAAGCAAAGATTCAAACTTGTAATAGTAGTAGTAGAATAATAAGTATAGTTTGGGCTCACAATATAGTGGAGACTCAAGGTTCAAATCCACCATATTCCTCTGGTAACACCACAATAAACTGGAGCCTTGTGAAAGTGAATTCATTAGGGAAAAAAAATTAAATCTTTCATGTTTCCACAGCTAAATTGTATGCCTGATTACAAAAAGATATTAGACAAAGTGAAAATAAAATCAAAAGGTTGACGTTAAAAAAATGCAATATAATAAATTATGTAACAAAAATTTTACACAAAGCAATTATTAAAGGAGCCCCAAATTGCGAAGGCATGTTTACTGATATACATTTTTTTGCAACTCGTTTACTGATACACATTTTATATTTGATGCATTTTGTTATAATCTGCAGTACTTGAACTAGACTGAACAATGAAAACCCACAGAGAAATATAAAACATTTCTATTGAAAAAACTTTTTATATAAAAGAGGATAAGTAATAAAAAAAAAAAAAAAAAAGAAAAAATTTTCAGAATAAACACAGATTTATTTTAAGAAGAAAAAAATTATACACAAATCATGGTCAACATTAACTTTATTGTTAAAGTATACCTAAAACAAAACAGGACACATAAGTAACAATAAATCATCATTAAATACAAAAGTTTATCTTACTTTAAAACAAATGTACATATGCATAGATATATCAATATTTAAAATAAATAAATATAAAATTAGAAGGAGGTATAAGATAAAAAAAAAAAAAAAATTGCTTTGTGTAATTATAACTTATGTGGTGGTAATAAATCACTCCTCAGACTCGTGTTTAATATTACCGGTGTTTCGAAGAGGCTCAGCACAAACATCTAAATTATCCCGTCAGATAAACATCATCACTATTTATATTTTAACCTTTGATTTTTGCCTGCTCGATAATGTAGTAAAAAAGGACTTTACTGCAAACAGCCAAAACCCTAACTTCACCCAAATTTGTAAAGCACTAATATTTTTGAAGAAATAATATGGATAGTGAGAGATGTGAATTCAATACTAAATACTATAACACAATTAAAATAAAACAATATATATATATATATATATATATATATATATATATATATATATATATATATATATATATATATATATATATATATATATATATATATATATATATATATATATATACATATATATACATATATACACCTTGTACAGAAAGTTTAAACGCACTTGTTTTTTTAACTTATATAATACTTTTAAGAAATGATAACCCGATAAATTAATAAGATATCCTCTGTATTTTTATGTATATTTATACTATGGCTATAAGTTATTAGTTTAGGTAGAAAAAAAATTGTATGGATATTATAGCGGAGGTGGAGAGTGATGAGAAAATTAATGGAGCAATTAACTCTTCTCAATTTTTTGAAATAAAATTTAAACGCACTTTGATAAGAAAACGCGTAAAACTCGTTTATTGAGAGATTGTTTATTGAAGTCTTTTTCATTTTTATCACTCAACAGCCTGTTGACGCTAGTATATTTCATTTGGATTCATATTCTTATTTTATTTAAAATAAAAACCACAAATACGATTTGATTTAAAATATAGCAATTTTCAACTGATACAGCTTTATCAAAATATCATATTTTAATGGGTAAAAAAGCTGATTCGTTAAAAACTAAATGGCAAGTCATTGGAATGCATAAAATGAAAATAAGTAATAGAGAAATTGGCAGACGCCTAAATATTTCTGAATTCAGCATTCGTACAACAACAAAAAATTATTTATCAACTGATAGTGTCAATGATAAACCTCGTACTGGGTGTCCGAAAAAACTGACAGCATGCGATGAAAACATGCTTTACATGCTAAGCAGACGTAACCCAAAAGCGGGAGTATCAACTCTAAGTGCAGAAATCAATAGTTCGCTGGTAGACAAAACAGTTAGTCAAATGACTTTAAGTAAGTTATTTTCGTTTCATTAGTAAGTTAAAGTAAGTAAGTTTCGTTTCATTAATAAGTTAAAGTAAGTAAGTTAAATTCGTTTCATTGTGTAAGAAAGCCTTTGTTGAAGTTAACCGATCGCCAAAGACGAAAAAAATGGTGCAAAGAGCGCTTAAATTTTTCAGTAGAACAATGGAAAATGATTATCTTTAGTGATGAATCGAATTTCGAAATTATTAACAGAAAAAACATAAGATTTGTTCGTCGCAAAAATACAGAAAAATATTTGAAGCAACACCTATTAAGCCGTATTCAAAAAGGCGGTGGTTCTGTCGGCATATGGGGATATATATCAGGCTCAGGCGTTGGCTGTCATAAAATATACGAAGGAAGATTAAACCAATATGAGTATCATGACATTTTGGAAAACGCGCTTATCCCTAGTCGCGATTTGTTCCAGGCTGATTAAAACTGGTTATTTCAACAAGACAATGCTCCATGCCATACAGCACATTCAATCACTGATTATTTCCTTAAAAGTAATATTCAACTTGTGCCTTGGTCAGCACGATCACCAGACTTTAACCCAATTAAAAATTTATGGAGCTGGATGGATTATCAACTAACAAAAAAGCAAATAACTAGTTACGAAATGCTCAAACAAGAACTGTGGCTTGAAATACCAATCAAGATGATTGAAAACTTAATCTAATCAATGCCAAGGCGAATACAAGCATGTATTAAAAACAACGGGGGTCATATTAATATATTTCGATTAAAAGAAGTTGTAGGTGCGTTTGAACTTTATTGCACTTTCTTCTAAGTAATCTTTTGATTACTTGAGTTTGTTGTTTAATTTCAGAAGAGATTTTGTGTTTTTCTAAATCAAAGTTGTATTTTTTTCTTAATTAATAATCGACTAAGAATATTTAAAAAAAAAAACCTGGACCCTGCCTTATGTTTTCTCTTTGTATCACTTTAAACATACCTTAACTTTTAAAAAAACAAGAGTGTTTAAACTTTCTGTACAAGGTGTGTGTATATATATATATATATATATATATATATATATATATATATATATATATATATATATATATATATATATATATATATATATATATATATATATATATATATATATATATATATATATATATATATATGTATGTATATATAAATTAAGATAAATATATAGAATAAAATATAAGAAAATTTTTTTTACAAAAACAAAAAATAATAGAATAAAATATAAATGCAGCCCTCGGAATTAGGAAAAATGAGGCCGACCTTAATCTTCTATAGTTAAGCATCAGGTCGACAAAAAAAATTTGATATAAAGGTGTTACCACAAAACATTGAAACAACCTTAATTCCAAGGGTTGTAAATGAAAATTTAAAATAATAAAAATTATTATATTCTAATAGAAAACCACAAATAACTCAACTGCACTACCAATGTGATTAATGCTGTTAGATAAAACCTTTTATAAACACAAGTCGCTAAAATTGGTACTTATTGGATAAATAAACCCAAGCCAATAAGATAGAAATAAATATAAAAACAACAAAACCATACAAAGTTTAACGCTGTCATAGATATCTAGATCAAATATTGCTAACTAATCAAAAATACAGATTTTGCCTCATTACAAAAAAATATTAGACAATATTTTTGGTAATAAAATAAAAAAGCTGACTTGATAAATGTAATATAATAAATTATATAAAATAAATTAATTATGTAAAATAAATTATGTAAAATAAATAAGTATTAAACAATAAATCAGTTATTAAAGAAACCCCAAAGTGCTGAGGCATGTTTACTGATATACTTTTTTTTTTCCTTTAAAAACTATAGAACATTAAACAAAATTTAATAAATTTGCTATATTTTTTAAAAAATTTAAATTAATTAGTTTTTTTATTTTTTGCATATACTTTTATTTATATAAAACTTTTAATGTTTTTATATACTTCATTATTGTTATTATCTTTTAATTCTGATTCATTTTCTGATTCAGTTCAATCCCCACAATGTCTCTGGTAGTACCATGCTCAACTTGTTTCTCCGCGCAGCGGCCTTGTTCATCAAGGTTCGTGTTTTGGAGTTATAGAGTTGAGAGAGGGTTATAACCACAATTAAGTAGTCTGCTCGTCTGTAGTGGCCTTCTCGCCCTTGGGGAGGTGAAATAACAAAACAAAAAAAACAAAAAAATTTTGAAAAAGGGTGCAAGCAATCACTATTAAGTTGGGAGTTACTAGGAAAAAAAAGAATAGAGTAATAAAGAAAGGAAATAATTGATAGAAGACTAGAAAAGTTGTATGTTGTATGAGTCAGAAAAACATGTAGATGGGAGAGAGTTCCATAAATTTGAAGTGCGAGGAAAATAACTAGACAAATTAAAGTTTTTAGAGCATGCAGGGACAGATGCAGTAAACAAATAAGACTTCGCTGAATAATGAGTTAAGCGAGGATGAGTTTTAATGGAACTAGAGATGATAACTCCTTTGAGCAGCAACCATGATAGTATTTGTAGAAATGAGAAAAAGATGCAACTTTACAGCAATGTGAAAGAGGCTCAAGCTTAGCAGATAGAGTGGGTCCAACTACATTTGCAATGCATTTTTGGACCTTGTCTAGAAGAGAAAGAGCATCATTTGAAGAACCAACCCAAATATGACAATAGTATTCCATAGTAACCCCAGAAGTTACTCAAAATGAAGAAAAGTGTTGGCCTTCAATGACGACTTAAATAAAGTGGTTAGAAAGAAATGATTTGATAATCTCAAAAACATTTCCAGATATACCATATGAAGCTTATGGAGAAGACCAGTATGTTAAACTTTGTTGAAAACTTTAGATATGTCAAGAGCAATAGCTCTAGCCTCTCCGCCTCTATCTAATGCATAATAAAATCTTTCTTGATCACAGTAGTAAACAAGTCAGCTGTCGAGTAAGAGGATAAAAAAAACCATATTGATTGACTGACAGTAAGATATTTGACTCAAGAAGGGATGTGAGAAATTTGTTTATCAAAGACTCAAAGACCTTGCTAATAACAGAAAGAAGAATGGTCAGATGATAATTGGAGGTGTTAGAATGTTCACCTGAGTTTTTGAAAGTTAGAGCAACAGATGCCATTTCCAGCGGGTAGGAAAACAAGACTCATTCAAGCACTTATTAAATAGTTTAGAGAGAATTAAAGAGATTTCTGGAGAACAATTTTGTGAGAATATGACAGGAATGTTGTCTGGACCACAGGCCATAGAAGAGTTTAGTTGAGATAGGACTTTAGCAACAGAAGCTTGAGTGATTTTAATGTCTAACAATGGGTTAATCTGTCTAATTGGAATGCAAAGAAGTGAATGACCTTAAGATTTAAAAGACCATAAGACCATAAGAGTTGAATTAGAAGAAAAGTTATTTGCAAATAATTCTTCCTTATCAATGAGGGAGGTAATAAGATCAGCATCATAAAATAGAGACGGAATGTTAGACCTACCCTTGTTAATTACGCTGTGGAAGATTTTCCAAATGTCTCTAGAGCCTAACTTTTAAGATAAGATACAAGACTTGTGAGATAAGATATGAGATTTAGAACTGAAAATAATGGAGCTTAGCACCAGACAGCATCTTTTTACATCGATTTCTTACAATAGTAAATAGCTTTTTGTTCTTAATTTTATTCATAATAGAACATTCTCTTGTGAACTTTAAACTTAAAATTAAATATATAAAATTACTTTTGCAAAACTTTTTATATTAGTAATAGTTTAAGATTTGTTCCATGATTTGATGGATTGATATTCAAAAGTTTATTAAATATCAAGACTTATTAAATCCATAATTTGATAGTTTGATATTTAAGTTTATTAAATATCAAAACTTATTAATCCATAACTTGATGGTTTGATATTTAAGTTTATTAAATATCAAAACTTATTAATCCATAATTTGATGGTTTGATATTTAAGTTTATTAAATATCAAAACTTATTAATCCATGATTTGATGGTTTGATATTTAAAAGTTTATTAAATAACAAAGAGTCAAAAAAACTTTTTACCTTAAACTAATTAACTCAACCACTAAATTTAAAAAGTGTCCTTTATCTATTTATAAAATCTTTATTTCCACCTCTTATATAAATAAATGTTTATATCTTCTTTTAAGAAAGATCTTTTTAATATCTTACTTTTTTATATTTACTTCAGAATACATTGGATTTAAAGTTTTGAATTAACACTAAAATTAATTTTTTTAAGAAAATATTTTGAATCATCACTGAAATAAAGTTTCACAAGAAATAATTAATGGTCACTAATAAATGAAACACAAAAGGAATATAAACTTCTAAATAAAACATTATGGTTCAGACAGGTTTCCATAACGCTGTTTATTAATAAAATATGACACAAGTTAATATTAAAGAAATTTCAATCAGATACTGAAACAATTTATAATCATGCCCTTCCGAGGACTTACCTGCCTTATAAATCAAGACCAAGTATATTAAATGCAATACTACCACTAGGAGAATTAACATCTAAGGTTTGCAAGCTCTTTTTATCTTTACCCACAATTAAACTAGGTATTTATGTCAGAGTTTTTTTAAACATTATAAATAATATATGTAAACAAACAAATAATGCCTTAGCACTTTGGAATCACTTGAAATGGTTTAGCATATTATGCTGTTTGTTTATTTATCCACATGTCTACTATTCTTATTAAAAAAAAAATACTTTATTATAGAGATTTCCAGTCTTTTTCATTTCCTCAAATACATTAAGCCAATCAATTATTTTTTGCGACAACTTGTAAGAGCTAAAAATCAAATGTTTATGTAATTCCAAGTCAGTGGCTAATACAGAGAAAGTGTAGGTATTAACTATGGCAGAGCGAATAAAAGAAAGATTGCCACTTTTGTTAGCACCTGATATATTGTTTCTGCTAAATATTTCTTTTGTAACTAATATGTCAAGAACAGCATCGCCAATTAACTCTAAACATTCATTAGTTCCCAGCTTGATGGCAGCATCAATGTCAAATTCGTTTTTTTTTCCATTCAAATATAACACATCAGCATAGCTGTGGTGTAAACATGCATTGAAATATAGAGTTGGGTTTTGAAACTTGTAGCCTAATTTTAATTCAAGAGATTTAAATGCTTCTACTCTTTTAAATGATGCACATTCTAAAGGGTAATTAGCCCTATAGTAGCCATTTTTATGTAACAACGACAGTTTCATTATGTTAAAGCCAAAATATCTAAACACATTGTAAAGCGAATCTTGAGGCAATGTTAAAAAACATGCACCAATAAAAGCTTCAACTACATTTGCAAGTAATCTTTCGTTTGCATCATTTAAACTCAATTTTTCTAAGATAGTGCGAATTTTACTTGAATTATTTGATGAAAATGCTTTAGCAGGTTCAAATATTTCAAATATTATTATTTTGTCCATATGCCTTAAAAATCCTAGTTCAGATAAATATTTGTTTGACAAAATTTTATTTCTATAAAAAACTAATTGTGTGCTTTTAACACCAGGAAAAGCCAAATGTAATTCTGCTGTAATTATGTATTTCAGAACTGAATCACCTAAAAACTCAAGCAAGTCATTGTTGATGTCTAAAGCAGCATTTGCTGCCACAAGAGACTGTAAAAAAAAATGATGAGTTTTTAAAATATCTTCTGACTGGCTTTCTGAATAGACACTTTTATTTGATGAAACATTATTTGGAGCAGTACCCAAAGTTAAACTAATATCACATTCTTCATGAGTAAAATAATCCAAGGAAAAGCATTTTTCCTTTGAGAAATTATTTATTGAACTATGTATGTGAAAAACATTTAAATTAAGCTTAATATAAAAAACAACAGAAGGCATCAAACAAAAACAGCACAACAAACCCAAGCCAATAAAGTCCACTGGACATAGGAAAGATAATGGTAAATATATTATAGTTCTTTTTTTATTACTAACCTTCTTGTTTAAAGCATTAAATTTTGGTTTAAAATAATTTAAAGGAGCCATCAGGTCATCATCATTAATAAATAAATTATATCTTTTCATAAAATATTCTTTGTAAGAGACGGCTTTTGAATTATCAGGAAATGGGTCTGAGGCTAAAATTGTTTTTTCAGATTTTGCGCGGTCTAAATGAAAAAAACATTCTTTGGAGACATGAATCTGTATAAAAAGAGTATTGTAATGTTTTTCATAAAACTTTTTTATTCTTATATCTTTATTTTCTAGCATATGATGACAACTTTTAACGCAATCAGTTAAACAACTTGGTCCATTCAAAGACACTTTCAAAGTGTTGTTACAAATATTTTCAACAATTTTAATTTCATTTGTTTTATTCGTCACTTCATATATATTTCTGTCATAGGTTTTAAAGCCCTGTCTATTTTTAAGGAGGTTTATTTTTGTTTCACATAAATTCATTTGCGCTGCAATCATAGAACTCATTTTGTTGAAATCAATTTTATGTACTCCATTCTCTAAATGCAATAAGACGCACAAATAACCATCATAGCTCATCACTGTCATTTTCAGCACAGCATGAAAAATAAAGTGCATAAACTTTTTAATCAATTCCATTTCACTTGATTTCATGTTATACTCAAACCCAAATTTAATTTTTACATTATTTGGTTGATAGTGGTCAAAAAGTACAAACGGAAAAATCTAAAAAAAAAAAAAAAACATTACCTTTAACAAGATCATCAAGAATATATATATTAGGGTGTCCCTTAAAACAACATCTTTTAAAATAATCTGCTCTCACCCCTTAAATGTGTTCTGTCTAATATAAAAACACTAGGTTTAAATTTTTATGAATAAAAAAATTTTTAAGGGGTCCCCCATAACCTTGAATATTTAATGGGTCCCTATTATTTTCAAATAAAAAAATTTTTCAAAAATATGTCAACCTGGTACTCAAATGAAGCGAAATTATATAAAAATTTCAAAAATAATACTTATTTTGAAAAAAAATTGTTGTTTTGGGTTTTATTACATAAAAAATTGCTTTTTTTTAACAAAAAATGAAAAAAATGCATTTTTTATGTTTTTTTATGATAATTTTGATAAGTTAAAATTTTTTCGACATGAATATTATCTTTGAAATTTTTTTTATAATTTCGCTTCATTTGAGTACCAGGTTGACATATTTTTAAAAACTTTTTTTTTGAAAATAATAGGGACCCATTAAATATTCGAGGCCTCGGGGACTACTTAAAATATTTTTTATTCAAAAAAAATTTAAACCTAGTGTTTTTGGATAAGATAGAACAGGGGGTGAGAGCAGATTATTTTTAAAAATGTTGTTTTAAGGGACACCCTATGTATATATATATATATATATATATATATATATATATATATATATATATATATATATATATATATATATATATATATATATATATATAATATATATATATATATATATATATATATATATATATATATATATATATATATATATATATATATATATATATATATATATTTATACATACATTTATATATATATATATATATATATATATATATATATATATATATATATATATATATATATATATATATATATATATATGACCGCCCATAATTATTTGAATGGTCATACTTTTCGATATAAGCTATCAAAGTTTTACTAATGGGACAGAAACTGAAAACAAAGTCTACCTAAACTATACTTTATCTTCCTATTTATTAGGTTTGCAAAAAAATTAATATAAGTCCCATTAGATTAGTTTATACCCTTAGTCATAATAACGGCCATACATTTTCTAGCATTCTACTTAACAACTTATCCAAAGTCAATTTTATGCTACTAATTTTTTTCCACATCTTATGCATTTTTGACATTACTTTTAATTCCTCCCATAAAAATTTTATTGGAGAGAGATCTTGTGATTGGGGATACTAAATTATTCCACTCAATATTTGGTTGTTCTTGAACTCATTCAAAAAACTTTTTTTAAAAATATGTTTTGAAAAAACATTTTCAAAAAACATTTTTAAAAATTGAAAAAACATTTTCAAAAAACTTTTTTTAAAAATATGTTTTAAAAAAACATTTTTAAAAAACAATTTTTTAAAAATATGTTTTGAATTTAAGCCTCAAGTCCTTTTCTTCTGAAAAAATAAATGGCTTCCCATCAACCAATCTTTTCAAAGGTGTAGCATGTTTTTTTAAGTGTACAAATAAACTACTTTTGTCATTACTCCCTCTATTTTTACAAAGTTGGCTTACTTAAACAAATAGTAGCATTTATTATAAAAATTAATATCATTTGAATAATTATGAACGGTAGTGTATATATATCAAAGGTGTACACTCGTGTTCGCCTGACAGTACCAGATGACCGAATTTGTTAAGGGCAACTAAAAATATACCTTTAATGCAATTAAGTTGCCCAAAAGGGCGACTATTGATTTTCATCAGCAGTTTGACTTTTTTTTTTTTTTTTTTTTAATTTAAGAATTCTATAAAAAATAAAATCTAAAATAATAAAACTTTATTTTTAAAGTTACAGTGTCAAAATTTGTTTTCTATATTTTTTATTGTTAATTGGAACATAAAAAAATTGTAAGAGTGTTAAATCGTATTTAATAAAATACTTCCTAAATAAAAACTAAAAAGCTTTATCGTTTAACTAAAAACACCATTCTATTTTAATTTATTTACAAATCTTATTTAATGATTTAGAGATAAAGTAATGAAACTAAATTTGCCAAAAAAAAAAAAAATATTAATTTGACAGGCCTTAATAAGAAGTGTTATGCAGCTCGTTTTTTTTGTCAAAATGTCGAAATGCCGAAAGCGTTCAGTTAAGAGAAAATTTTTTTGTAAAATATGTCACAAGCGCTCAGTTTGGCGAAATCTTTTTATGGGGGAATATTTAAATTGTTTTTTAACATACTTAATGTGACGTTTATTCAAAAAATATTAGTTTGTAAAAAATGCATTTAACTGCAACTGAGATTTGTTTAAAGAAACAAATTGTTTTATAAAAAAATACTTTTAATTTTAAAAGACTTCAAATTAAATATGATTTTAAAATTTAAATTTAGTTTTAAAAGAATGTAAAATATTAAAACCTTGAATATAAAATTTAGTTTCAAATGAATGTAAAATAGTTTTCAATTTTAATACAGTTTTTTTCTAATCGCTTGTTAACGAATTCATTAAGTAAAGTATAAGTCTATCCATCATAGGTAATTATATATTATTATTAGCGAAAGGAAATCAAAATCTTTAGAGAGTTTATTTTACAAATGTATTTTTTGTTTCTTATTAATTCAATATCGTGTTAAGTTCTTTTGACATAACACGTTTAAAAACATAAATCACATTTACAAATATCTTATTGGTAAAATCTATCTATAAATCTTTGTTAAAAATACTGCATTAAATAAGTAAAAATTAAAATAAATAAATTGTGATAAAAAAAACCCAAAAGATTACGTAAAGTTCAATTTTATTAAAATTGAAGATTGCGTAAAGTTCAATTTTGTTAAAATTTTCCTCAGTCATCCACACAGAAAAATGTGCTGATCCATTACAACCTATGGTCTATCACAAATAAAGTGAGACTAAGAAAAAAAACTTTAAGAAAAATAAAATATGAAGGTATGCTAATTCTAATCGTACTAACCCCTAAAGCCATAGTCCCTAATGGCCTTCTTTTTGCTGAGGTTACTCAACCATTTTGGTTAAAGCTTTTGCGTGCAACAACATTTTTGGTTGCTGCACTGTTGTGATTCCAGTTTCATCATTGTTTTAAATGTCTGAAGCAGTAAACTTATCATTGTCAAAACATTGCCTAAGATATACTATCTGTTCCTATCATTAAGGTTAGTATAAGGTTATTATAAGAGATAAATTATTAGAAAATATAATATTTTTGAAATGCCAAATTTAGATTCTTTTACTAATTTTTTGTTAAATTAGTTTAAATAATTTTTAGAGAGGTTTAAAATTAAACTTTACAATGCAATATCTTAAAATACATTTAAAATACCAACAGTTTTTAAGCTCCTGTAATAAATAACTACAACACATTAAAATCAAAGAGTTTTAAAGTATTTGTAAATTGTTTTTTTATATTTATCAATACTTTGTGGTTGTAATTCAAGTGAAAAACCTAATGCTGCATATATATGCATATATATGTATAATGGCATACGCATTCTGAAAGTACAAAAGTTAATTTCTTGCATGAAAATGCAAGAAATCCACTGAATGCAAAAATTTTGATAAAAAATAGCAACATGCATCTCAAAAAGTTAATGGGTGTCCTGACAAACTGATTACTTTCAGCCGGCTTTCGGGTGACTAACCAAAAGTCTGAATGTACATCCCTGTATATATATATATATATATATATATATATATATATATATATATATATATATATATATATATATATATATATATATACATATATATATATATATATATACATATATATATATATATATATATATATATATATATATATATATATATATATATATATATATATATATATACATATATACATATATACATATGTACATATATACATATATATAAATATATATATATATATATATATATATATATATATATATATATATATATATATATATATATATATATATATATATATATATATATATACATATATATATATATATATATATATATATATATATATATACATATATATATATATATATATATATATATATATATATATATATATATATACAGGGGCTAATCTAGACCGTTTTCGACAGCGCCGACCGTATTTGGGCGCCGATTTGGCGCCGCCCAAATTCAGGTAATTGAAGACCTTTTTTTAAATTTATTTAACATATATGTAAATATTTATAAAAATGATAGAGAAATATATATACATATATATATATATATTTAATTGGCATTAATTTTGAATAGATCCCTTGTCTTGCAGCCATTATATAAAAATAAGTTATTAATAATTCTTTTTCCGGCCAATAAATCGTTTTCCGGCCATTTTGAAATCATCTATATCAGAGTTTAGATGCGCGCGAAGTATTTAAAGTTATAAAATATTTGGAAACACTCGAAGTTTGTAGAAAGGTATCGACGATTTAAAAAAATGGCTGCTGGTCGCCCAAAATCTACTTCAATCAGCCATAATAAAAAATCTAGCACATATTTGACATCTAATCGTCTAGAAATAGAGATTACGCCTGTAAAAATATATATGTATATATATATATAATATATATATATACATATATATATATATATATATTATAAGTATTTTGGAATTATATAACTAATCTTTATGTATATAATAAATGTTCTTATATATAATGTTTTATGAAAAAAAATGTTCATCAGAAAAATGTTTTAGGTGTACCTTAGACTTTTAAGGTTTTCTTTAATTTTGATTTTTAATTTTTAATTAATTTTTTAAGGCATTCTTTAATTTTAAAATTTATCTTCTAAAATAACGATTGTCACAATTTAATCTGGTGAAACGCGTATTAATTTATGGTTTTTTATTTTGAAGAGACTTGGACAAAACTTTTTAATTTAGCGCGTATATTCACCGGACCACCAGTACCATTGTTTTTAAAGTTCGTACATTAGTAAACGCATTTAGGTTGATTAAAGTAGTAATGTTTTTTTATTTAGCTTATATTTATTTGTTTTAATTTTTGGCAAAAATATGGCAATAATTAATTTAAAGATTTTTTTTTATTAACTACATCAACAGCAGTTTCATACAATAATTATTTTATACATGGAAGTTATACATATAAGTTATGGACTCAATGAGATTAGTAAGTTTGTTGCAGTAAATATGTGGGTTTTTTTCCCCATAAACATTTGCAATCTAGTAAATTTAAGGTAATTTGGCTATTCGTTAATTTATTTTTATTTCAGTGAAACTTCTGTGCAATATTTATTTTTAGGTAGCAACTTCCTTATAAAATTTATGTAACAGATCATTTTAACAGGAATGAATTATAGTGAATTATTTCAAATACATTTAAACATAATAATAAAGCTAAAAACTAACTAAATTTTTGTTTATCTAAAAACAAAAATTTTGAAATTTTCTAAACATGTTTCGGCCCCCCCCCCCCCATTACTTAAATTTTAAGAGGGGGGAGCGAGGCAGAGGGGTACCGCCGCCCAAATTATTTTCCTAGAATAGCCCCTGATATATATATATATATATATATATATATATATATATATATATATATATATATATATATATATATATATATATATATACATATATATATATGAATACACATGTATATATATATACAAAATAGAGTGCTCAATGTTCTTAAAAGAACAGAGCAATTATAAATTAGTAGAAAATCACTTAATAAAAATTTTTTTCATTTTACACTGTGTTTCATCAACAAAGACTCATCAGAAATGAATGATCAAATTAATAAAACTTCAATTAATACCAAAAAATTAAATTACAGGAAGTTGCAAATGTTTTAACTACTGTAAATTTTCACACATTTGTGCAATTTGTTGACACTATGATAAAAAGAATTCTTTAGAAAAATATTTTTAAAAAAGGGGGGATTTAATGTAACTATTATTTGAGCTCTTGATTTTGAATTGAACTATTATTTTTATTGTTTTTTAGGAGAAACTTATTTTAGTGCCTGCATTTAGAAATCAATTCCGATTTTTTGTTTAACAAACATTCTTGGTTTGCATGTGTAATTATTTCAAATTTTTCTTGTAGACATATATAAAAAGTATGCATTTTTCGGAAATATTGTTGTATGCAGGCGCTGTTTTAAGGATGGACCAATTCAGTATAAAATCATCAATATTTTTATCTTTAGTTCCCATATATATTTTGATAGCATGGTATCTTTTGAATACTTTTTATTATTAAAAGATTGCTTATGATTGGCAAAACGTTTTTTCCATTCACCCTCTGTTATGCCAATATATTGTTTATCGGGTACATTCTTAGAGGATACAACACATTTATATACCACATTTTTTGATAAACAACTTCCACTCATTGGACAATTGTTTTTTTGTTTACAATTACAATTTTCTGTAGTTTTTTCATTTAGGATTTCTTTTTTATTTAACAAAGCATTATTGTGACTTTTTATAATTCTTTCCATATTTTTTGTGCAACTGTAGCTAACTTTAATTGTATTTCGATTAAAAATTTTATGTAATTTATTAGAGGGAGGGAAATGCTTATCGACCAATTTTAAAAACACTTTTCCAATGTTAGTGGAAACATTTTTGCTATATGGGGGGTTGAACCAAATTACATTTCTAGTTCTATTCCGTTTTTTTGTATTCTTTCAGGGTCGCATTTTAGTTCAAAATTATCAAAACCACTTTTTTTAAGGGCATCTTCAAATATTCGTTTGGAGGAATTAAATACATTTTCATTAGAGGAGTTTTGGTTTAACCTGTTATTAATTGAAATTGGGATTTGTTTTAGAATTTGTGGTGGATGATTTGAGTTAATATTAATATACAATAACTCATTGTTTGGTTTTTTGAAAGACTTATATGAATTTTCAGAGAGGTTAAATGTGACATCATAAATATATATATATATATATATATATATATATATATATATATATATATATATATATATACATATATATATATATATATATATATATATATATATATATATATATATATATATATATATATATATATATATATATATAACGCAAAATCCCCTAAGTTCCATCACCACGTATATTCGGTCATTTAAGAATAAATAAAAGAAAAAGAAAAAAATAAATAAAAAAAGGAATATTTAATTGATGCGTATTTTAATTTTTACTAACTTTTTATCCTCCAATAATATTTGTTACCACTTCAATCATTAAAAAAAAATACGGTTTATTTGAAATTAATTGAAATAATTTGTTTACAAAACAAGAGTTTTGAAATTATGCATACTATTAAAATCTAAAAAAGTTTTAATTAAAAAAAAAATTAAATTGAACTAAACTTTAAAATTAAATTGAACTAAACAATTTTGTTTCATAATTTTATTATAAAATAACATTAGAAAACTTGTTTTCATAAATTTTGATGTTAAATTTGTGATATCATGAGTGCTATTGGGGTATTACCCTTGGAATATTACAATGTACTGACTGAAATGTATATAGTGACTGATGGTATTGGAGGTTTGGTCAATCTAACTGTTTTCATTAAAAATAAAATATCGAATGCTAGTTTTTATTTTTATTATTTTCTTTTTACAATATAAATTATTAATATAGTTGTCTGAATAATTCAGAAAAAAAAAAAAAAAATTTAAGTTCAGGTGACCGAATTTAGGAGATAATACGGTATATATAACTATAACATATCAAAATATGAGAAAATATCAAAACATAATTTTTTATTCAAAACAACCCAAATTATGAATAAAATTTGGAAAAATAATAAAATCCAAAAAATTTTAAATAAAAACTTTATAAAAAAATCTTTTATTTTTTTTTAGATGGAGAAATTGTAAATGAATGTCTATCAATTTTTGCTGAAAACACTGGAGACTTGAGCATGAAAAAATTGTCGCAAAATATTGCCCATTCCGAAAATACAGATATGAGAAAAGTTGAAGAAATGACCTTTGATGTATCAAAACAAATCATTGTTGACTTTTTCCCTTTCAAAATACTTTTCAACAACTATTAATGAAAGTTGTGATTTAATTGACAATGCTCAATTATTAGTTTACATAAGATGTTCAAACCTCAACAACTGGATCTGATATTTTTGAAACATTAAAAACATGTATTAAAAATCAAAACACTAATGGTCAGAATCTGAAATGGGATAAACTGGAAATTCAAAAGTACAAAGCTGCCATTTTGAAACTTTTAAAATCATTTGAAATTCCCATTGCAGATATTAAAGCTGAAACTAAAAATATTTTGCTCTTTATCAAACCATTTACTATATTAGATAATATTTGCAGTTATACACCAAAATTGCAATTGAAAATCACAGACATTTAGAATCACACAAGATTAAAAAGCAAATTTCAAGAACTGTGTTTATCACTAATTGCACAGATCTGAAATCATTCTGGGGATTTATTCCAAAAAATGACTTTCCTGAACTTAATGATATGGCACTCAGATTTGTCTGTAAATTAGGCTCAACCAAAATTTGTGAAAAAATATTTTCTACAATGAATTAAATAAAAAGCAAGCATAGATCAACTCTGACTGACAACTATCTTGGTAATCTGATACTTCTATCTACTTCAAAAATCAATTCAAACATCAAAAAACTAGTTTCAGATGGTCAAGTTCACCACTCTTAATAATTATATTGCTTTGATACAAATGATTATAATAGTTATTAGTCACCTACATTTTGTAGAAATAAATTTTTTTTATACAAAAATTGTTTTGTAACTTTTTTTTTGCATATATTATAAAAAGTCTGGCCACCCCTGAACCAGAATGACTGACTCAATCATAATTCTTGCCCCTTTTGTCACACTGACATGCTCACCAACTACTTTACAGGGCAGTCAACTAGTGTTAAGATCAACTCCATTACTTAATCAACATCTAATTACATGACATCAAACTTAGAAAGATCCAAGGTTTTTAAGCTCCACCTGTTGCAACTTATATTAGGCAAACTACTTGTATGGATTGTGTCCAATTGGTTCGAAATAGTTTCCTGGTTTCTTGTGCAAATGGTCCTCTTTGTTGAATAACCTTTACAGCATTGAACTCTTCTTTTTAGGTTTAACTCTTCTTCATTTTTTTTAATTTTATGCACAGTAATATAATTGCATGCATATTAATATCACTGCATGCATAGTAATATTACTGCATGCATAGTAATACCACTGCATGCATAGTAATACCACTGCATGCATAGTAATATCACTGCATGCATAGTAATATCACTGCATGCATAGTATTATCACTGCATGTATAGTAATATCACTGCATGCATAGTATTATCACTGCATGCATAGTAATATCACTGCATGCATAGTAATACCACTGCATCCATAGTAATATCACTGCATCCATAATAATATCACTGCATGCATAGTAATATCACTACATGCATAGTAATACCATAGAATGCACAGTAATACCACTACATGCATAGCAATATCACTGCATGTTAGTAATATCACTGCATGCTACAAAACCATATTATACTATTTCAGCAAATTTAAAAAAAAAACATCTCAATCTTATCAAGCCCTTTTCAATAATTATTTTTAAAAATTTTGTTTATAAAAATAATACCTTTAACAACACTATTTTACTTATGGAAAGTGTTCAGTAGGTAAGAAAAATTTAATTTCTTTCTTAAAAAGCAATTTAAAAACGTGCCAATTTACTAGACCCAAAAATAGGTCAAAACTTGAGCATATGTTTTTATATGTAATGAAATATTTTTTAGTATTTTACAAATGAAGAACTAAATAAATTACAAATAAAGAAGAATGCTACTCACAAAAGGAAGTGGTGCATTTACACAAAGTCCAATTAAATCAGATTCTTTTGTTTTTGAATCAGAAAAAGAAACTACATACACATAAGTATGGTGCTTATCTTTAGTATTTAGATCTTCACTGGCTATCTGAAGGTCTTCAGTCTAGAAATTTGCAGTAAAAAAAAAAATACTAATAGGACAAAACAATTTATTATTAATAATTTTTTTAAATTTTTTTGCAGTTTTATTAAAAGCAAACAATTAAATAAAAAAGTTTACAAATCATTTTTTAAAAAATAATTTTGAATATGAAAAAGTATGATTTCAGATGTAAAAAGTCTTTGAAGACTATAGACAAAACTAAAGCAAATGACATGTGGCATTTTTGCAAAAATCAAGTTCGGTATTTGAAAAAAGTTAAAAAACAAAGTTCCAACTTCTAGAGCTGCATATGAATAACTAAAAGTAGAAAAAAAAAGTAGCAGTTGCCAGAAATTATAATAAACATGTACCTAAAGAAAATCCAGTTCACAAATCAAAGATCAAAAACTATTATTTAAAAAAGTGTTAGAAAATACTTTTCAGTTTCCTCATGCAATCACCAAACTAAAAATGCATGCTTTTTACTAAATAAAGTTCTTAAACAAAATCCAACAACAATAATACCTTAATATTACTATTAACTTGAAGTAAATTCTCTGGAAGAATGCTAAAGTCATAACTGATTTCATTTCTTAAATTCTTCATGCTGAAATATTTTGATGCAAAAAAAAAAATATGTATATAAATATATATATACAGACAACCATTTTGACAAAATATAACCATTTTATTTAACAAATAAAAAATAAGTTAAATTTGAAGATAGTACTTTTTTTTTTAACATAAAGTAAGGTGAAGCGGTAATGTAGTAATAATATAAGTAAAGTATATACGGTAAAATAACAATAAAATTTGTAAGGTTAATGTGGTTAATAAGTCACAGCAACATAAGAAAGGTTAATATGGTAGTAGACAAATAGCAAAAAACTCAGCTCAAAATCAAAAGGATTGAGTTAAAAATCCACCTCTGGAACACCTCTGGAAGTACTGAGGTCAACATTTTATTGTTTTACAGTGGTCATTTTTTTTTTTTTTAGGGTGGTTGTTATTTTTAGTTACTGAATTGGATACAAGCTGATAAAAAAAATTATACTTCATAATAATTTTACAACAATTGAATGCTTTGATATGCAATTTATTTACGAATTTTATCATTACGTTTAACTAAGAAACTAATTTTTTATAAACACTAGAACCATGAGAAATTTTGTTAATTTTTTTTTATTACATTTATTTATTTTCATGTCTTTTTGCTTTTAAAAATGTTTTGGATATATTTTACGTTTTTATTCAATATTTGTATATTAGTACATATTAGTATAGTAGTAGTACTTATATAATACTTATATAGTAGAAAAGTAAAAAAATAAATTGCTATTTATTTGTAAAGTATATTATTTGATTTTTTAAATGTAACAAGATTATAATGTAAAAAATAATAAAAACTCATTACAACTAACAATGAATAAAACTAATCTAAATTATTCAGTTATAATGGCTCACATTATTGGTAAATTTATCATCGTCCACGTAGTAACTTTCTTGCTCAACTGATCCCAATATACCATTGTTGTAGGAACTGTTGTCACTATCTTTGGATTCCTGATACTGTTTATCGTTACCAGATAGTTTATTTTGGGAATAACTTATTTCACTTTCAACTGGTATAGATTTGATATCTTGGTTCAATACTTTTGGTATAATAGGAAATTTAATGATTCCACATTTTTTTTATATTCACATACCGCTTTTTTTAATATTAATATATATAATATTTTAATATTTTTTTAATTTTTCCAGAAATTAATATGAATTGTTCCAAGTACTATGTTTCATACTAAGTTGCTGATCTGTAAGGATTGTAGTAAGTGTTCTAAAACATCTTTCGACTGCACTTTTAGACAAAGATAAGCAAAGGTAAAACTCCGATAATAAAATAAAATTTGGAAAATCATTTTTTTTTACAAAATAATCTTACCACTAATTGTAAAAACTTCCATTCTTCGAAAACCATTGCTCACTGAAAGTTTTCATTTTGAAGTGGTTCGCAAAAATTTCCATAAGATACTCTATATTTTTTTAACCATTATCTCGGTCATCTGTCCAATATTTAGGATCCAGCCATGTCGCGGACGCAAACACAGGATTATTTCTGAATGTTGCAAATCAACTATTTTTTTTTTAAACATTTTTGCTTCCAACAAGGCTGCAAGCAACCAATAATTAGTGTTGGAAGTTACTGGAGGAGAAAAGATGAAGATTGTAGAGCAAGATAACGATTGACAGACAACTTAAAAGATTGCAAATTATATGAATCAGGAAAGCAAGATGAAGGAAACAAATTCCAAAAAACTGATGTTCGAGGAAATAAACTAGACAAGTAAGAGTTTTTGGAGCACTTAGGAACAGTAACAGAAAAAGAATGAGACTTAATTGAATGACGAGTAACACAGGAATGAATTTTAGTAGATGGCACAAGTGACGCTAGCTCTTTAGAGCAGTGCTCATTATAGTATTTGTAGAAAAGAGAAAGAGAAGCAACATTACAACTTTATTAATTAAAGGTATCAATACGCTTATGCAATCTTTTGTAGCTCCAAAGCTCTTTCAAAATTCCTGTATTTAGCATTTATCATGCCATCAAACTTGATGTCAATACATTTCTTTTTTTTTTCCGTTTTCTTTCTTTTGTCATCAGCAATTATATATTTAGATTCAATGGTAACAAGACCACCTTCTTCTTTAATGAGAAATTTTCTTGCAAAGCTACTATATGCTTCCTCTACCGCCAGTATAGTCAGGGCAATTTGCGGATCAACTTCAAAAGCTAGCAAAATATTTCTCTCAAAGAAAAGAGACAAGGGACTCAATTTTTTCAAAGAAAAGAGACAAGTGACTCAATTTGCATTAAGCAAATTCAAATAAACACTAACTTTGCATAAGAAGGCATAGTTTTTAAATTTCCTTAAAAGCCCCTCTATTTTTGCTCTTGTTTTCTTATAATACACTTCATTATTTGCTAATGCATTTGACAAAGCTACTAGATAAGCTGGCCAGATATGCAATAGGTTGGTGTAACCTTTAACATAATGTGATGCAAATCGAGTTCCTTGAATTTTATTTAGGCTATAATATTGGATAAACTGTGCAGAGGCAGCATGTTTACATGACTCCTTCAGCTTACTTAAATTTCTTAATAAATAAAATAGAGTTGTATAAAAATATTCGCAATCCGTAAAATCTTTAAACTGCTATAGCATCTTTCATTGTGAGTTCTAATCTGTGATTAACACAGTGTATGTTAACTAACCATGGTCGTGTATTGCATTAAAGCTCCACTGTAGATACCCATATTTAAATTTGCTCCATCAGCTGTTGCTAATACCAACTTTCTACAGTAATTTGTAATTGAGTGCAGAATTTTACATTTAGTTACAGTATTTTCAAGGAAAACACTGTCCAACGCCTTATTTAAGGAGTCAGCGCCAACTCCACCAAAATCAGTCATATTACATAATACAACGAAAAAGTAACGTGGATGAACATCATTTTCAACTCTCACTAATATTATTCCTTTTTTGCTGCCTGTTTTCCAAAATTGACTTCCATCAGAAAGCAAAGCCATAAAAGATTTGTAGGCAATAATTAAGGCTACTTCCTCTTTTATTGCCTCTGCAATGCAATGAATGAATTTTCTGGCTAAGAAGAAAGAATGTATAAAAAGCATTACAATAAAGATTTACTAAAAAAAACATGCACACACACACAAAAAAAAAAAAGCTTATTTTCAGCTTATTAGAGAGTAAATAGAGGACCAACATCCTGTAAGACACATTTTTGGGTCAAATTTTCCCCGCATTTTATTGGGAGAGTAGTTTCTTTAAAAAGCACATTGTGAAGAGAGAAAGTAGTGGAAAGTCTTATCATGATGCTAAACTGATCCTATAATAGAACAAAGTTGAATTTTCAAGACCCTAATTCAACTTTAAGACCAATTTAGACCAGATGTGTACCAAATGTGTACACCAAATTTGACTGAAAGATGAACTTGGACTTTTAAAACTGCAAATTTAAACTGAAAACTTCAGACTTTTATATTGAACTTATCATGCATTTAACTTAAATTATTATTTTAACATGCATTTTGATTGATATTATACACATAATATAAACATTGGCTATTTTTACAATATTATCAATCAAAATATGGTATTTTTTTTAGATTAAACTTTTCAAATTTTTTTTTTATAAATGAAAAAAAATTCAAAAAGTTTAAAAAATACCATATGGACAAAAAGTTTTTTTTGCAAACCAAAATATTATATATAATTATATAAAAACATTACTTTAATAAATGATAAAAATACATTTTTAAGTAATCATTTTTTATACACTAATATAATTTTTTAACAGCTCATAATTAACCATAATAAAAACATGACTGAAACAAGTGAAACAAAGTAATTTTTTTTTTTTGAGAAAACAAAAAACATTTGCTTACAAAAAACAATTAGTGTTTAAACCAAAAATTTAAAAACTTATAATGCAGCAATAATGAGAAATCAATAATAAAATGTTAAATATTCGCCATTTGTGACTTTAACAATATTTTGAAAGTGATTAATAAAACTTAATGTGATAAGTGATAAACAAGATTTTGTGCTTAAAAAAGACTTCTAGTTATTGAATCATAAAAAAACCTTTATATGTCATATTTAATAATTTTTTTTTCAAACTGATAAAATTAATAAACTTAAAATTTAACTGAAAGCTTAGTGAAATATGGTAATTGTCACCAAATTCAACTGAAAGCCAATTTTCTGTTTTAAATTTAGCACAAAAATTGAAGCGGAAGTCAACTTTACCTTTTAGTAAAATTTATAACTCAAAATTTAATAAATATTTGCCAGTCCTATATATATACTTAAAAGGTGGCAATATAAATTTAGAAAATTTTTGATTTTTGTGTTTGCTGAAAATTTTTTGGTCAGGATGTTTTGTAACAATTAACAATGTCTAAAAGAGTTTCCAAAAACATCTAATTTCCATAAAACCATTCAAGAAACTTCTTTTCCTAAATAACTACTAAAACATATTTTATAAGTTCTTGCAAGAAAACTTTTAAATACTTGTTTATAATATGAGGTGTGCTAATTGAGCAAGGGGTGTGCTAATTGAGCTAATAGTTAAATCAAACGATTAAATTGAATAATTATTGTTACCCTCGTGATTTTTAATGCAGCAACATAACATAATGTGGTAGAGCCTGACGATAGACTGATGAATAGCCCTTTTTTAGTTTACTTAATGTTCATTGAACAAAAAAAACATTGCTTCATAGAATCAATTTCTTGGTTATATTGTACAGTTCACATGCTGTTTCTTGAAACTTCTTTATTGCTGTATCAAAAATGTAAAATGCTTGATCTACATACTCATATATTAGTAGAACCCTTAAGCTCAATAAGTCTTTGATCCTTAGAAGTTTTGTTGTTAACTCTAAAATTTAAAAATTAAATCTAATATTTACTTTACACCTTATTTTTTATTGTAAAAGCTTAGATGTTTCTACATTATAATAATATTGTAATAACTCTGATGTTTCAACATTAACATTATTTTTTTAATAATTCTGATGTATCTATGTTAAGTAATCAAACAGTAATCTTTTTAATCTTAAGAATGGAATATATAATATATAGTTGTGCCTAGTTGTGACTTCAATAGAAAGTTGTGCCTAGTTGTGACTTCAGTAGAAAGTTGTGCCTAGTTGTGACTTCAGTAGAAAGTTGTGCCTAGTTGTGACTTCAGTAGAAAGTTGTGCCTAGTTGTGACTTCAGTAGAAAGTTGTGCCTAGTTGTGACTTCAGTAGAAAGTTGTGCCTAGTTGTGACTTCAGTAGAAAGTTGTGCCTAGTTGTGACTTCAGTAGAAAGTTGTGCCTAGTTGTGACTTCAGTAGAAAGTTGTGCCTAATTGTGACTTCAGTAGAAAGTTGTGCCTAGTTGTGACTTCAGTAGAAAGTTGTGCCTAGTTGTGACTTCAGTATATAGTTGTATCTAGTAGTGACTTCAGTATATAGTTGTGTCTAGATGTGACTTCAGTATATAGTTGTGCTTAGTTGTGACTTCAGTATATAGTTGTGTCTAGTTGCGACTTCAGTATATAGTTGTGCTTAGTTGTGACTTCAGTATATAGTTGTGTCTAGTTGTGACTTCAGTATATAGTTGTGCCTAGTTGTGACTTCAGTATATAGTTGTGTCTAGTTGTGACTTCAGAATATAGTTGTGTCTTGTTATGACTTTAGTATATATTTGTGCAAAGTTGTGACTTAAGTATATAGTTGTGCATGTTGTAACTTTTAGTTAGTTGAACTAAATCTATTTATTTGTGGAATATAAAATATCAAAACATAATGGAGGTAGGTATGTTACTAAACAATAACTTTTACTGATCTGCAAATGCAATATAAGGTAAACTAAAACTAAGTATAAATTTTACAATGTAAATGTGTTACTTAATAAGTTAAAACATTATTTACCTATTTCTTTTGTGTGGTGTCATGGTATTCATTTTACATCGAAGCTCTTCATCAATTCTATTGAACAACTACAATTAGACAATAAAAATATAATACAGAAAAATTTTAAAAAATCAATATCCTGTCTTCTCCTATTTAAATGGTTGAGAAATTACTTCTTCACTATTAATGGTTGCATTTATTATCAATTTTAATGATTCTTATATGAAGTTTTGTTAAGGAGACCTTTGCTGTTTAAAGTCGTCGCTTATAAAATTTAATTTTTTTTTTTAACTTTTACCTTTTTTATATTTACTTTTAAAAAAGTTTTATATAATTAAATAATATAAATTAAAAATTACACAACTTTCAATGATACTTTAATTAAAATCATTAGCTTTATTTAAAATAAACTTTATTTAAAAGCATTTTGCTAATATAAAAACGTTTGTTAAGATAAATGTGTCAAAGTTATTTATTTTCAACATAAATAAAAACCAATTTTTTTAAAGCATTTATTAAAAACTGTGGTTAAATCACCAAAACAAAATATTGTTTGAAAGGTCATATAAAGACTTGAAATGCAAAACATTTAAAAAAAACAAATTATCTACAGTACCTTATAGTACTTGTAAAACTGTAATAACCACAATGTAAACAGATTAAAAAATTTTTCATTACTCGAAGTCAAAATTTCCGAAATTTTCTATTACTTCTTAGAAATAAATCATTTCTCTATACTTTGATAAAGTATAGTGAAATGATTTATTTCTAAGAAGTAATAAAAAATTTCGAGAATAAGACACCTTTCATTAGGCACTATTCCCTTTCCGTGTTCAAGTTAGACTTACCTTTTTATTATAAATTTATATAATACTAAAGAAATTATTAATAAATAAATAAATTATATTTAACTATTATATTCAGATGAATTAAAGGAAAAGTTTTTGGAAAATAGTTCTGCATTACCCTTTAGAGAGGTAATAAGATCAGACCCATGTACAAATGAACTATTAGACTTTTTATTGTTAATAACACTTTTAAAGCTAATAAAAGTGTTATTAACAATAAAAAGTTTTATTAACTTTTAAAGTTAATAAAAGTGTTATTTCCTTACTTAATGAATGAAGACTAGTTTTTTTTTTTTTACTCTTGGCTAAAAATTAGAAAAAAATTTTAACCTATAAAACAGTTGTTTTTTATTTATTTATTCTTTCTTTATTTATTTATTTCTTTATTTATTATTCTTTATTTATTTATTTATTCTTCTTATATATTATTTTGTTTAACTAAAACTAATTATAAAAAGATTCATAGGTGATATTATACACTTATTATATATTATATATTATTATATATACAATTATTATATATTATATATTAAATATATTATATATTATATATTATACACTCATAGGTGATATTATACACATTATATATTGACCAAATATTGATATGATAATTTTTTCTTGCTTAAATTATTGTAAGACTTTTATAAAACTTAGAAACTAACCAAATTAAAACAGAGACCTTAACTTGAACTCATAAGAAAAATTATTTTTAAAAAAATTTGTTACTATTGTATGAGAAACAATTGAGAAAGTTTGAGAAATAAAAAAAAGTAAATTTTTTAAGAAAGAAGAGAGTACCTTAAAAAAAACTTACTTTAAAAAAGTTTAAAGCAAAATTTACTTTTTTCTCTTTTTCAAATTTAGTTATAAAACAAATTAATTTGAGAATGGTGGAACCATTCACTTTCAAACAAAACAGGAAAATGTTCTTTTTTCATTTTCATAGAGTTCTCTCCAGATAAAAATAGAAAACCTTTGTCTCTCTATGTAGATTTTATTTCATCCTAATTTTTCATTTTTTTTTTTATATCCATCATAATTCTATTTTGAAATAATTTGTGTTTATAAATAAAATAAAAAAATTTCAAAAAAGTAAACATTTAAAATACCTTAAACTTTTCATCATTATCAGATATAACAGTGCATCGTTCTGCTTTTTTTGCTTTTTTTTTTAACTGGATCCATTCTGTGTAACAATGCACCGAATGATACAGTATCAAATGCTTGCAAGCAAACAGAGGAATATTAAAAAAGATTTCTTTACAAGTAATTACAGCAAGGGTCTGACAACTAAACTTCGGCTGTACTAAACTTGAGATAAAAACAATCGAAGATTCGAAATATAACTGCAGCTCATTAAAGAACCTAAGGATGTTATCATATACAGCAGCTGCCTGTATTTGTGTTTCTGTAACAAACACAGATATTTTTGTTGAACTCCCATCATTTTTTTCTGAATTTAGTTTTAAAAAAATTTCTTTCAATAATAGTTGTGCAACATATCCCCAAAATGTAATTCCATAATCTAATTCAGAAATATCTCTAATGGCAACCTGAACTGGAGAGTCCAGATAACTGTTAACCAAACAATTGGTCCAAAATCTCCATAGAGCTGTTGGAAAAAAATCTTCAATATTCATAATAGCATATTGCTTTTCACAAAACTCTACAAATACATATAATTTCAAATGGGCCGGTAATAAACAGCATAATGATTTAAACTGAAATAAGCAATCATCTTGTAAACAAATATTTAATATAATTGCAGGGTTGTTGTTGTCACTGCAAAGGCTATGAGACACACAATCAGTGTAAAACTCATTAAAGTTATAACTTGATAATGCATTATCAGCAAACAAAAATCTTCTGCACATGTGAAGAGTATCCAATGCTGAAAATAAAAAATCAATTTATTGAAAACTACTAAAGATAAAAAAATATTTTATTGAAAAATGTTGTTTTAAATTTTTGTCACAAAATATTCATTTAGTTGTTTAATTTTTTAAATTAAACTTTTGTTTTTTTCAAACTTTTTTTTAGACAAAACAAAAGTTTTGCCATTAGGTACTCATTAAACACTATAGACACAAAAGACAATATTTTTCTTGTAATTTGACTTTAAAGGTGAGTTTCCACTCATCCGTTTTTTTACAGGAACGGGATAGGAAAGGAAAAAAAAAAAACGTGAGCATGCGCAGTTTTACTTCGGACAAATTAAAACTTATAATACGCATGCCCACCTGATTGTTTTTCCCTTCCCTTTCCCGTTCCCGAAAAAACGGATGAGTGGAAACTCACCTTAAGCTATTTAATTTTGAAAAACTTTATTAAAAATAATTTGCATATCCAGGGTTGGCAAAAACCCCGTTTTTTTTTTTTAAAAACCTGACCCAGTGGGTTTTTTTTGGTAATTTTGGTTTTTTTTTGGGTTTTATTTTTATTTATTTTTTATATTTGTTAAAAAGAAAATCTTTTTTTGTTTGATAATATTGAAAACTAATATAATTATTTTTAGTTACAAAATTACAGTTTTAAATTATTTTTTAAGCTGTAATAAAAAAAAATTATTTCTGTAATAATATTTTTTCTTAATTACAGCTTAAAAAATAATTTAAAACTGTAATAAAATATAATAAAACTCATGATGAACCTCAAAGTATTGATTTATTTTAGATTTAATGATAATATTTTTTATAACTAAAAATGCGATTGGGAAGTGGGAGAAAAAAACTGGAGAATGGGATGAAGTGACTGAAGCTGAAAACAGTAGAAAGGTTTCTTGTGACAATTGTCATGCTTTGATTAGCAACAAGATAGAACGAGTAAAGCCCTATTTAAAACATTGCCAAAAAGTTTCTACACAAGCATACAGAAGGGGGCAATCTCAATTTGTCAAAATATTTAAATAAAAATTGTGATGATATACTACCAAAAAATGATGTAAGTATTAGTGCATCTGCTCTAATAGCTGGACTATCATTTAAAGTTGGAAAAAATTCTTTTGCATCTGTTAGTTCTATAATTTGCCAACACCTTGTTAAGAAGCAGCAGTTGATGTCACTATACACAATCATACACAATATCAACTAATATGGAACAGAAAGAAAATATTGACATAAAAATAGCAAAATTTTTCTTTAGTGTAAATGTATCATTTAAAACTTCCGAAAATCAAGAATTTATAGACATGATCAATTGATTGAGACCAGGATATAATCCATCAAACCATAAAATGTTTGGAGAGGACCTCTTAAAAAAAGCTTACAAGAAAGTAAACAACAAAATGATGGATCAACTTACCCAAGAAGAGAAAACAATAACAATTATACAAGATAGGTGGAGTAGTGTTACTACTGATCCCATTATGGCTCATAGTGCATATGACAGACTTACTTCTAAAATTTTATGCATTAACGATTGTGCATCAAATAAAAAAACAGCCAAGTATTGTACCAAACTCTTTTGTAATGTCATTAAAGATCTTAAAGAAACATACAACAAAGAAAGCATAGGGTTTACAACACTAAACAATACTTTAACAAATTTATTTTAAACATAACTCGCATTTTATAAAAAAAAAAATTATTTTTTTAGTATAACAAAATTACAAAACAATTTACAAAAAACGTTTCATTTGCAAACCGCAGTTGTGGGCAATTAAAATTATTTATTTGATGTAAACACCACAGATGATTAGGTGTAAACTTTTGTGAACAGTCAAAAGTATAATTAAGGTTTTTTTTTTATTAGGTATAAAATAACAAATTAATTAATAATGGGTTGTTCTGCACCATTGAGTCCAGTTGAGAAAAAAGTGCTCTCTAACTTATTAAAAATGGGTCACTCCGTTAGTTACATGGCTAGAGCTATTGGATGCAGCTGAACTGTAATTAAAAACTACGTTAATAGTCCTCATATGTATGGAATAAAAAAAAGTCCTGGACATCCATCAACATTAAGAGGCCATGATGGGCAAAGGTTGTTAAGACAAGTCTCATACTCTTCATTAACGGCATGTCAAATTGCTGCAGAAGCAGGTGTGATTTCTAATTTACGCACAGCTCAGCGAGTTATTCATATTGCTGAAAAGCATTATGAATAACTTTTTACGCAAAAAAAACTTCAGCGAAAACCACATTTGACAACAAATCATATAAATGATGAAATAACTTTTGCAAAGGACCACATAACACAAAAAAAAAAAGTGGCAATGAGTAGTATTTTCAGACAAAAAACGATTTTGTCTAAATGGGCCGGATAGATGAAATTATTATTTTTACGAATTTGTGTAAAAAACCAGTAATACAGCAAAATGTCAAATGGGTGGTGGTGGTGTAATGATTTGATGTGCGATTGGGTACCATGATAAATCAAAAAATTATTTTATTGATGGTAAAATGAAGGCTAAGAACTATCTTTTAATTGTTCAAGAACTTTTAAGACATGAAGCATCTGCCATAGGTGGTAAAAAAATTGTTTTTCAGCAAGATAATGCTAGCATTCTAAGCAATTCTAGCGTTTATACAGTAAAATTGAAACATTGAAGTGGCCAGCTAGATCTCTAGACATGAATATTATTGAGAATGCTTGGGCACAGTTGTTACATATAGTGTTTAAAGGTGGTAAAAAATATAGTTCACTAGCTAATTTGAAATCATCCATCACATCTGCATGGGATGCAACTGACATTTTGTACATAAAAAGGTGTATGATTCTTTACCTTCTAGAATGATTGAATTGATTCAAAAAAATGGTAAAAGTACCCACTATTGATTTTTTAAAATTGAGACATCTTTTTTTATAAATGACAATTTATATGATTTTTTTCCAAAAGTGACCTAAAATTTTGTCACACTAAAAAAACAGTTTTTTTTTTAATAAAATGTGAGTTACGTTTAAAATAATTTTTTTTTAATGTTTTTAAATTTAAATGTATAGTAGAGTTTCATAAATAATTTTGGGTGTCTTATCATTATGTCGTGCAGTGTACTAATGAAAAACAAAAGAGATTCAATGCTATAAATGATTAAACTGCCCATTCATGTGATTAAAAATGCAACTATAAGGTTTGAAAAATAATACAATAAAATTTAGAAATGAAAGAAAAAGTAATTTCAAAACTCATTTAAAATAGAGAAAAAACGTGCTTCTAAATGCAACAAAAAAACACAGTGCAGGCGCACTTCAAAATCGACACAACTGAATAAGAGCCAATTTTTTAAGTGGTAACTGGCATAAGTGTGAATAGCGTAAGCGCACACTGGCATAAGTGCAAATTAGCATAAATGCAAGGTGGCATAAGTGCGAAGCAGTTGCAAAATCTGGCAACAAGTGCAAATTCGCATGAGTACAAATTGGTATAAGTGCACCAAAAGAACTTGCAAACATTGGCATAAATGCAAGCTGTCATAAGTGCAAATTGGCATAAGTGCAAAGCAGTTGCAAAAACTGGTACAAGTGTAAACTGACATAAGTGCGAATTTTCATAAGTGCGCTGAATAAATTTACAAACATTGGCATAAGTGCAAATTGGCATAGGTGCAAAGCAGTTGCAAAAACTCGCATAAGTGCGATTTGGCATAAAAGCGAACTAGCATTAGTGTGTCTAATAAATTTGCAAACATTTGCATAAGTGCAAATTGGCATAAGTGTGAAGCAGCTGCAAAAATTGGAGAGTTCCAAGAATTGATGTGTGAGGAAAAAAACCAAATAAATAAAAGTTTTTAGAGCTTTAGAGCTTTTAGGGAGTTTAAAGGAACAGGTACAGTAAAAGGATGTATTGAAGAAATTTTACATATTACAGTAAAGAAGTATTGAATGGCCTTCGCTAGCGAAGTCAGAAAATTTATTTTGTTCATCTTGTCATATAGTAGTCCTTGTTACAAAATAAACTTAATTTCCACACACAAAAAAACTACACTGCAACTATGAATTATTTCATTTGATACATTTAAAAACAGTCAAAAAATACCTACTTGTGTTATGCATATGATTACAATACAAAATCATAACTTTATAATCGTTGTCTAAAGATCTCACTAGCTTAAACATTAAACTTGAAATCTTTTTTCTGCCGAAAACCAGATAAACAAAATAGCTCTTACTTTCCATATTAAATATTTCTTTTTTGTCAATGTGGTCAATATAGGTATATATCGTTAATAATATTTCTTATATGTCAATAAGCCATGGCGATACTTATTACAGGCCTTCCCGTCGCGAATCCGTATTTTTGACTGGGGGCGGACAATCTTACGGAAAGATATATTTTAGTTTTTTTTAAAGTTCGATTTGTGAGTAATTGATTATTACAATAAATGGTTAAAAAGTGCTGTGTTCCTGAATGTAGAGGAAACTATGACGCTAAAAATAAAGTACGAGTTTTTAGGCTTCCCTCCAATAAAAAAGAAAGAAATCGTTGGATAAATTCAATTCCTAGAAGTAATTTTCCAAATAAACCAGATACTGTTGTCTGTGAAAGACATTTTCCAGAAAATTTTTTAACAACTATTGTCAATGGGAAAGTTAGACCAATTGAACCTCCTTCAATTTTTCCAAACATTCCAGCTAGTGTTGTACCAACTCAACCTTTAAAACCAAGGTCCACTACTAAAGTGTTGTCTTCTATCAGAACTGAAAAGTGTGATGAGTTGTCGCAATATTTAAAAAACGATTTGTTTACTTTCATTTTTTTATGTGAAGATATTAAAAATCGTAAATTTATTTGTCCTGTAACTACTTTTGTTATAAATGATGTCCTGCACATCCAATCAAATTCCTTTTATGTTAACTGTATACCTATGTTTGCTGTTCATATCTCAAGCAATTTTAAATTTGAAAGTTTTCATGCTGGTGTTCGTTGTTTTATTTCTTCACTATCAAAAAATCGTATAGCATATCTTGATCGCTGGTCAAGAGTTGAAGAAACAATTCGCTTTTTGAACAACATTGAAATTGATCATCAAAAGTTAGTATTACAAGATCTTATTACATCTATGAATGCATCAGAAATAGGTACAAAAATTTATAATGTAGAAACTATAATCAGATCCTATTGTTATTTTTCAACGTCTCGATGCTTATACAATCAGGTACGAAAAGATTTTAAATTGCCAAGTGTAAAAACATTAACAAAAATTACATCTATGACAAAAAAAGTTTCAGACATTGACTTTATTAGTACCATTTTTTCAAATTTAGAGGAAAATCATAGAAATTGTATACTTATGGTGGATGAAGTTTATGTAAAGTCTCATCTTCTCTATCATGGTGGTTATCTTTTTGGAAAAGCAGAAAATAATCCAGAGTTGTTAGCAAATAGTGTTTTGGGTATTATGGTTAAATGTTTAAAAGGTGGACCATCTTTTATATGCAAAATGATACCTGTCTGTCGTTTGGATGCTTCTTTTTTGTTTGAGCAAGTATGCTATGTCATTAATTTGATTAAGTCTAGCAATGGAAATGTAATTTCAGTTATTTGTGATGGCAATCGAACAAATCAAGCTTTTTTTAAATTATTTGAGAGAGTTGAAGGAAAACCATGGTTAACAAAATGTGGAATTTTTCTCCTTTTTGATTATGTTCATCTGCTAAAAAATATTAGGAATAACTGGATTACAGAAAAAATGCAGGAATTACAATTTGAAAAAGACCAAAATTTGACTGCCAAGTGGAGTGACCTTAAATGTATCTTAGATTTTGAAAAAGATCAGTTAATTAAGTTATCAAGACTAAATTTTATAGCTATACATCCAAAACCCATTGAAAGACAAAAAGTATCACATTGTTTAAGAGTATTTTGCGACGAAACTATAGCTGCTCTCAAAACTTATTCAAAAGTTATCCACCCTTGCAATATGAATGAAACTATTTGTTTTTTAGAAAAAGTTACTAAATTTTGGAAAATTGTAAGTGTAAAAGAAATTTATGGTGATATGAAATTTTCAGATTCTCGTAAGAGAGTTATTTCTGAAGAATCAGACATAAATTTGCAGTACTTACTTGATTTTGGAGATATGGCATTTAAAATGAGTGGTGAACAAGGTCATAGAATGAAATCTTTAACTAAAGATACAGGTACTTCAATTTGGCATACATGTTATGGAGTTGTCGAGATGTGTAAATATTTGCTAAAAAACAATTTTGATTATGTTATGTTAGGAGAGTTTTCAACAGATTACATTGAAAAAGCATTCAGTAAGTTTAGGCAAGGTTCAGGTGGAACATTCTTTATAACAGTTCAAAATGTTGTTGAAAAGTTAAACATTGACAAAGCTAAACTGTTATTGCAATTAAAAGTGGATGTTACAGATTATGCTATTGATATCGAGCATTCTTGTCAAAAATGTGGCTATTTTATAAGTGAAGAATCTTGTGACATCATTAATCAATTACCTGAACTAGAATCATCTTTGTCATTGAGTACAAAAATGGCTTTGTTTTATATTGCAGGTTATGCTACAAGAAAAGATGATGTTAGTGAAAATGATTTGTTTAATGATACTGCATTTTATTTTCAGTTATATGGAGACTATACAAAAACTATAGACCGCGGTGGATTGAATATACCTCTCGATTGCTGTGTGCAGTGGGTATTTTTTTGTTTCATTTTTTTTGAAATTGAGAAAAACAAAATGTGTAGAAAGTCATTGTGTAATACTTTCATGATGATATCTGATATTTATAACTTTAATATGTTAAAGAAACATGGTACAATATTATCAAACATATTTCTTAAAAATTATTGTTTGCTTTTTTCACCCAAGTCCAATAAAGAACCTGCATTGAAAGTTTTAAAGTTATCTGTATAACATTAAAAAATTATTATGTACATTTTTTTATAACATTATTGATGTATATTTTAATATTTTTTTCTTTTTAATTGATGTATATTATGTTTTTTTCCTTTTTGTTTTTTTGCATTTTATAGTTGGTTCATTTTTTTGTGATTTAGATTTTAAATAATTACTCATTATTCTGAAAAATATTGTATTTTATTCTTTTTTTCAAAAAGTTTTTTTTTATTTTAAATTTGAAGATTCTTAATAAACACTGCAATAGACATTTTTTGCATTAATACATTACTTTTTAAAATTTAGTAAACTAACTAAAAATAATGGATTAGTTCGCAAACTTTTCTAGCCATTTTTTATATTTTTCCGTAAGATTGTCCGCCCCCAGTCAAAAATACGGATTCGCGACGGGAAGGCCTGTAATAAGTATCGCCATGCAATAAGCCGTTATCATATATATTTTAATACGGACCACACTGGACCAAATATAATCTAAGCAGAGTTAATAGTTACTATTTTTAAAAAGTTAAGCAGAGTTGATAGTTATCAAAACATAAGCAGAGTTAATAGTTAACTATTTAGAACTATTTTTTATATTAAAAAATTATCATGTTTAAAAAACTTTTTGTTCACAAATTTAGCATTATTTTTGCTTAATACAATATTTTAAAATTTTTCAAAAAAAATTAAATTTAAAATATAGCTTTTGTTTTAATGTAAAAATTATATAATCAATCTTTGCGATAGGTTTTACTAAATTCAAGATTTGTTATTGTAAGTAAAAATATCAGATATATTATTTATATTAGGTACGTGGAAATCAGCGTTTTAATGAGCCGAATTTTGTGCTAAAAAATTGTGCCACGTTTTTTAGTTTTTTTTATTTAGTTTTTTTTTGTTAGCATAGTGACGACGTGTTTAGTTGGAAAGCTATTTGGAATTTAATATTAACATACAGTACTGGACAAAAGTCTGAGACCAAGGGTTGAAAAAGACTAAAAACTGATTTTAACCATAAAATTTTATTCAATGAACAACCATGTCAGTTTTTTCCAATATAATTCATATTACTAGGAATAAGTACAACATACTTTGTGAAATAAAACACAAAATGTCCATGTCATGTCCAGGGGCGGATCCAGCATTTTTTGGTGTTTGAGATAGCTTACTTCCAGACATGGAGCAAACTCCAAACATTTACATGTTTATACTTATATCAAGTAAGGATGGTTTGCAAAAAATTGCGATGATTGGAGCCTGGGAACAAAAAAGCCCCAAAATTTGAGACGTACCTGCCCCAAACGTGAGAGCAACAAGTTGATAAAATATTTTTTGTACTATTCTCAACAAGAATTATATTTATCAATAAATTTTAAATTTCATAGTAAAATATTTTAGCGCTTAAAAATTATGACCATATAAAAATTGTGACCCCCTCGAATTGAGGGGGATTCAAACTTTACATGGTCATAATTTTTGAACGCGGAAATATTTTACAATGAAATTTAAAATTTATGGATAAATATAAGTCTTGTTGAGAGTAGTACAAAAAATATTATATCATCTTGTTGCTCTCACGTTTGGGGCAGGTACGTCTCAAATTTTAGGGCTTTTTTGTTCCCAGGCTCCAATCATCGCAATTTTTTGCAAACCATTCTTATTTGATATAAGTATAAACATTCGAATGTTTGGAGTTTGCTCCATGTCTGGAAGTTAGCTATCTCAAACACCAAAAAAATGCTGGATCCGCCCCTGATGTCAGTATTTTATGGGCATTCCTTTAGCCGCTAGCACAGCAGTAATTCTCCTGGGCATAGAATTGATCAAATTTTCACAAAAAGCAGGAGTGATTTTATTGGACCAAACCAACATTATCTTTTTTTTCAAATCATCATATGCTGATGGCTTTAATGCAGCTACCTTTTTCATTAACAGATGCCAGCAATTCTCTATGGATTTAAGTCAGGCGAGGATACCGGCCAAGGAGAAAGTACCTAAATATTTTTCTCAGCAAGCCATTTAGTAATCACCTTTGCCCGGTGACATAGTGCACCATCATGCTGGAAGGTTGTACAACCAGAAAGAGGCAGCCACTGAAGCAAATTGCTTTACATACATGGTTCAAAATTTTCAGATATTCATTGGCATTAATGGTTGTTTTAGAAAGCATGAAGCAAATACCTGCTTGTCCTCTGCTTGAAATTGAAGCCCAGACCATGATTGATTGGCACTGTTTAACATTGCATTTGGTGTACTTGGGATTCAGTCGCTGATTATCAGGTCTATAAACAAAAGAATGAAGAGGAGCTAACTGCTTTATTTGAATTTCATCTGAAAACATTACTCGCGCCCAATCCAACGCTGTCCAGTCTTTGTGCTTTTGACAAAAGGCAATCCGATTCTTGATGTTCTTGGCAGAAAGCCTAGGTTTAATGGAAGGACGCTGGGCA